CATATCTCTGTGGCGAAACCTGAAAATAGAGAAGAGGATTAGAAAGGGGCCTAGGGTCAACTTTCTCACCTAGGCCAATGCATGCCAACCTTAATGAGGAAACTGTGGCTCCCTGGAGTTCTTTAGCCTATGGAATTATGTAATTGATGGGACTGTGTTATCTGTTTACAGATATCTATACAGAAGGTCAAGGAAATTCTTACTCAGGTTATATGGTTTACAAGTGACAGGGCTCAGAAACTGGGCCTCCTGATGCTAACCCCTGTTCCCCTGGAGTGTTTGTTTCTCTCTGGAAGCGCCTGACATAGACATTAGCACCAAGAGGTAGTTGTAACATCCATTCTTGACATAGGGCAACAGAACCATTAGAGCCTCCTGAATAGGTTTAAGGACACACTTTTATCAACTATGCCTTGTATTGCCTGCTCTAAATCCCAGCTGTTAATGTGAAGTCAGTGCCTGAGCCACCTTGGCACCAGCTTGTTAGAAACATGATCTCAGGCCTCATCTAGGACCTGCTGAATCAGATGTAAGGGTTACGAGGCTTTCGAAGCTCACTGGCAAAGGCCAGTTTGAGCAGCTGTGGTCTGAAGCACTCTGCCCATGTGTGTGTGTGGTTCATCCTTACGACTACCTGGTGAAGTTAGGTGTTGCCATCCACCTTACACAGCTCAGGTGAGGTCCATCGAGATTAAATGACTTGCTTCAGGCAAGGTCATATAACTGGTATGTTCTGACACAACCAGAAGACATCTTGACTCTCTGATCCAGGCTTCTCACTCTGAGATATTCTTGCAGGAAGTAAAGCCATGGCTATGGTGGGGGTGAGGTTGAGGGGCTGTGGGTCTGGACCATTTGGGTGACAGCTAGAAACCCAAGTGGCTGTTCAGCTTGTTCCTCTCCAGCTAATTCTCCTGAGGTCCAACTAGACACAGGCAGAGATATTTTCTTGAGTCACATTCTCTTCCTTCAGGCACATGGTGCAATTTCACTCTCATGCCTCTGTGAGCTCACGGCTCATATGGCTGCACCAACCAATGAAATGTGTTGGAAAATGATGTGCACTGTTTTTTGGGGAGCTGCAAAACAAGTACACTGCTTTTGCCCCCTGCCACAGAGATTCTGGAAGGACATGTCTAGATAAAGCCTTCATCACCTGGGTTCCTTGAGCCCACACTGGATGCACATCACAAGGCAGAAAAAAAAAAAAGCTCTTGTGCTTCTAAACTGTAGACATCTGGGGGGTTGTTTGTTACCCTGGCACAAGGCAGTCTGTTCTGGCTGACTCTGAGTCATCTTCCTTTTCTCCAGG